GGGAGGGTGGGGGACAGTGCAGGAGGGGAAGACCCTCTATGAGGTGGATTGATTCAGTGACTGGGATAATCGGGATGGGTGTGTCGGAGACAGTGCGATTGGCACAGGACAGAGCAGAGTTTGGGTCTGTTGTACATAGGGTCGCTATGAGTCGCAAGCGACTCGACGGCACATAACAACAACAACAACAACAAGGTCAGAGTAGGAAATTAATCTACTGACTGCCTTCCAATTTAATCTTCTCTTTCTCAGTCTGAATTATCCCCTCCTGCGTGGGCTCCTGCCCTGATTAAGATGCAAGACTGATTGTTCTCAAACGGGTCAAGTATATTATTTGCCTTAATTATCTTTACAACATCCATGTGAGGTGGGGAAACAGACTCACAGAGGCTAAGTGACTTTCAGGATCACACAACTATTCATTCAGTGGGAGCACAGATTGCCCTCAATTAACTACCCTGCCCTGTCCTTCCTCTTTGCTTTCCTTCCAGGAATCCCTAAGGACTGAGGTATTTTATTTCTTGTGCCCTCCTACCCACATCAGCAGTCAGTGAGGGGTGGGAAAGAGACACACTCACCATATACATTGCAGCAGCTACAGGAAGGTAAAAGGAGTAGAAAGCTGTCTTGTACTTGACAATGGATTTGTACCTGAGTTGAGGGAGAAGATAAAACACTTCAGAAACGTCCTCCCTATCCTGAGCCCTCCATTTCTACCAACCATGATTCCCACTGTCCCTCACCTCTTTTCAGTGAATCTGCTGAGATCCACTTTGTCCTGAGGGGCAGTGATGAGGTCCAAGGCCTGTCCAATCTCAGTCTGATAAGAACTCTAAGGAGGAAGATGATGACCTATGAGTTGGACCGTCTCCAGGGACCAAGAATCTGGATCTCACATCCCGACCAGCTGGCAACTGGGCAGTCAGAAAGGCAACAAGAGGCAGAGAAGGCGCTGGCTGGGACTAAAAACCCTCAAGGCTCAGCTTTCTTTCACAGACAGGCACATATACACATGCCCAAGAGCACACCCAGCCACACACCCTTTAATCATCTCTTCCTCCAATCACACAGCAACACAACCCTGCCACCTCACCACTACCATTCCCAACTCCCTTGATTTGCTTGCTTCTCTTCAGGAAACGGGTCATCTCCCCTGTCCTGAAAGCGGCTCAAGGAGAATGTTCCCAAGAGGCCATCACAGCACACCTGCAGGAAGAGCTCCATCAGGTTCAGGTAATAGGGCTGCTCCCGGCAGTAGAGCTTCAGCAGGCGGTAGATACACGATTCCAGCAACATGGCATCATTGATGGCGTCCAGACCTATGCCTGGCTGTGGGTCCGAAAATAAGTGAGCAATTTCTGGCTTAGACTTACACCAAGAACCATCACCCTATACACCTCAGGCTGTATATAACCACCACCCTGAAGCTTTATTCCATGGCCTCGTCTCACTTCCCTGTAGTGAAAAGTGAGCTATCTCCTGCCCTTTTTACCTTCTGATACCAGCAGGGCTGCCCGCGTCGGGTAAGGGATGAATCCATGATGTCGTCTAATACAAGGAAGAAGGCTTGGAGCTAGGAAGAAAAGGAAGAGTGGGATAACTTGTTGGTTTTTTTTTTAATTTTATTTTATTAATTTTAATGAACATTTACAGAGATTTGGGATTTCCATTCATTCATTGTTGCACTATTTTCTCTACCCCCTCCCAGTTCATTCCTCTCCTTTCCCCCCACTCTCCTCGGTAACTTGTTTTTGATAATGACACTCAGTAGCTAGTCAAAGGGTTAGCAGTTTGAACTTACCCAGCAGCTCAGTAGGAGAAGGATCTGGTGATATGCTTCCATAAATACTAAAGCCAAGAAAACCTCACAGCACAAATCTATTCTATCACATAGGGTCACTATCAGTCAGAGTGGACACAACACAAGCAGGGAGAGACTGTCAGGATAGGGTGAGCTGGCACAGCTCTCAGTGCAGCAAGACCTCAGAAAGTTACATGACCTCTTGACTTAAACACTCCATCAATTAAAAAGAGATTGAAATGCAATCTTGCTTTCAGAATAAGAGACAAATACACAGTGCAGGCCGGGTTTAGAAGAGGCCATGGTACTAGGGATATTATAGCTGTTAGATGGATCTTGGCTGAAAGCAGGGAGTACCAGAGAAATGTCTATCTGTGTTTCATTGACTATGCAAAGGCATCTGACTGTGTGGATCACAACAAACCATAGCTAACTCTGAGAAGAATGAGAATCGGAGAACACTTGTTTGTACTTACGTGAAACCTATACTTGGACCAGGAGGCAGTCATCAGAACAGAGCAAGGACACACTGCACGGTACAAAATTGGGAAGGGTGTATACTAGGGATATGTCCTATCTCTATTCCTTTTCAATATATATGCAGAACTGATTCTCTGGAAGGCTGGGTTCTTTGAGGAGAAACGGGGCATCAGGATTAGAGGACGACTCACCAACAACCTGCATTATGTAGATGATACAACTCTGCTTGCTAAAACAGAGGAGGACCTGAAACGTTTGCTGCAGAAGGTCAAGAACTGCAGTCTTCAATATGGACTGAAGCTCAACATCAAGAAAACAAATATTCTCACCACTGGGCCAATTGGCAGCATCAGGATAGATGGTAAAGAGATTGAGATTGTTAACATAGCGACCCTATGAACAAAAGGCCTGAAGCCCCTTTACAATTATTGACATTTATCAAAGTTCATAGGCTATCCGGAGGCATGTTGTTTAGAAAGTGGATGCCACTCCTGCTTCTAAACCTGTCATATTATGTTGTTATTATGTGCCACTGAGTCACCTGCAATCTATACAGCAGCTCTGAACCCTTCCCTGTCCTGAGCCAGTCTCACTAATTCCGACACACCAACCTCCATTGCCCTAGTTACTGTATCAATCCACCTCATCTGGGGTTTTCCTCTTCTATGATGTTCGTCCACCCTTCACGAACATGATGCCCTTCTCTAAGTACCAATCTCTCCTGGCCATGTGACCAAAGTAAGTGAGGCAGAGCTTCAGAATCCTAGCCTCTATGTAAAGACTTGGTTTCATCCTCTCCAAGACAGACCGATTTGTTTTCTTGGCAGTCCATGGTATATTCAAGACTCTTCTACAGCACCACAACTATTTTATCATCTAATACCAATTATTCTAACATCTATTCTTCTTCTGTCATCCTTAGGAATTGTCCAACTCTTTGAAGCATAACAAGTCATTGAGAAGACCACGGCTTGGATTAGGCGCACCTTTGTATCAAGACTGACATCACTGCTCTTCAGCACTCTGGAGAAGTCCATAATCCAGGCCATAGTCTTTGCAATTACTTGCTATGCATCAGAAAGCCGGACAAATGACTTGAGATGATAGAAGGGGAATTGATGCCTCTGAGCAGTGGTGATGGAGAAGAGGATTGAATATACCATGGACTGCTAGGAGAACAAACAGGTTTGTCCTGTTGTTGTTGTTGTTGTTATGTGCCGTCGAGT